AGGCGAATTTAATGATAGTGTGTTTGGAAATAATGCATTTATTTTAATTTTAAATAAAAAATCAAAAAAATTGATCCGGTAACTTTGGAATGCGATATCTTGCGAACCACGGATCCAATCCGAACGAAAATATCACCATTCGATTCACCAAGACTAGACGAATTGAATGGTGTATTTTCGTCCGGATTGGTTTTGTGATTCACGAGATATCGCGTCCCAAAGTTTCCGGATTTTTAATCAGATTTTAATCCGGAAATTTGTTAACAAAATCTGTGATTTTCCGGAACTTAAAAACTGGATTTTTTCCTGATTTTTGTCTTTATTTTTTTTACAGGGCTGGCTTCGAGTTCAAAGAATAAGAAGGTGGAATTGGACGAAAAATTTTCCTGTATATATACCATATAATTAATATTACCACCAAGGCAAAAATAGTGAACTTAATAATAGGAGGAGTTTGATATTTATTATCATTATTAATCATACCTGCACCTAACGCTACAATAGGTAATTCTTTATTGCTTAGCAATGACCCAGAGGGTCTACCCCCTTCTTTTGTGATATTATAAATCTGAGAATTAGATTTAGCACTTACTCGTACATTCGTGCTAATCGGAGTCATATTCTTTTTTATTTCTGGAGTTTGATACTTTGTATCATCTATATTATCATGAGCCAGTATGGGAGTACTTACTTTTGAAGATTCGTGTATAAGAATACTTTCATCTTTCTTTTTACGTACAAAATATTGGGCAAGATTATTATGACTCGAAGAGTTATTCTTAAAGGATCTGCAAAGCAACAGTTTTTCGAACCTATCAAAATTTGATATGGAACTTTGTTCTTCGCTCTGCGTATTTTTTATTGTGAGAACAATGAGACTCTGCCCCTCATCACCTCCAGTAATCACGAATTTTGGCTGTGTCACCGTTGATATAGTATTTGATTTTAATCGTTCAAGCTCATCAATCTTTGAAGCCAATTTATTCTTTATATGCTTTAGTTCAGCTTTAAGAGACATAATCTCAGAATCTTTTTTTGATGAATTTTCCTGAATCAAAAATGCACCTTTTTGAGCTGATGCTAACTTACTTTCCAATATCTTAATCATAGTCTGGAGTGATTTTATTTCTTTTAATTAGATATCATACCTGGCTTTATACTCATCACAGGAAATCTGTGATCGGATAATCTGTGATGTAAGATTAGTATTGTCCACTTTCAATCGTTTAACCTCATTAATAAGTTGATAACTATGCTTAAAAAGTTTCTCTTTATCTTTATCAGATTGATTTAGATCATACTGCATACGTTTATTATCTTTATCTAAGACAGAACATTTATTGGCAAGTTGATTGTCACACTCTATAGCAATTTCTCAATCTTGATTTGCACAAGCAAGCTGATTTTCAAGTTCCATTCGACTATGTGAATATCGATTTGATGGTATGTCTCCAAGTTTTTTGCCTTCACCTATATCTGATAATGTATGGATTTGAGGCATATTATCCAATTCTTATAGATATCTAAAAAAATTAATATATTTGTATTTTGAATGTAATATATGATATAGATAGAATATATGTATTAAATAAAATATATGTATTAGATGAAATATATATATCAGTTATGATGTATTAGATCGAATATATATATCTGTTATATAGAAAAATGAATAATATTATTCTGTATATTCCATCTTTCCAATATATTTTATTATTTCGATATATTTTATATTTTTTGTTAAATATAAACATCTTATATTTACATTTACTGCTATGCCTAGAGTACGTATACGATCTGATGCACCCCTATTTTCTCAGGAAGATTATTCTTATATTATGCAATATCGTGATATAAAATCAAGATATTGTTACCGTTTTAATGGAGCTTTCAAAATACTCAAAGGTATTTATAAAATTTAAGGAATATTCAAAGGGAAACTTCCAATGTCTTAACGACAAT